CCTTAGAATTTTTCAGGTCCGGTCCCTTTCAATGGAGTTCATCGGTTGATCGGCGAGCTGTATCAGGCCTTCAAAAACTAATTCGAGTGAAATCTCGAAATTCCCCTCATTTTTTAAATTTTTGCAAGAGATATCATTTGCATGGTTTTGATGTGGACATTAGCAGTCTCAGGCATATCCCTGAGATATTATTTGAACATCATCACTCGTTCGAAAATGTCTCAACGAGATATCTTTTGCACATTCAAAGTCTATGTGAGATATCTTCAAGACATCTTAAATACATCATTATGCCGTCTGGGTACCGACTACAACTGATGCGCTTGAGTCGTGCAATGAAAGAAAAACGGCCGGAATACTCCAAAAGACACGACAAAGTCATTTTGCTGCACTACAATGCTCGTCCGCACGTTGCAAAATCGATACAAACATATCTGGAAACAAAATTAAATGAGAAGTCTTATCCCACCCGCCGTATTCTCCAGATGTTGCTCCTTCTAATTACCATTTGTTTTGTTTGATGGTTCATAGCCTGTCTGAGCAGAAGTTCACTTCTTACGAAGATTGTTAAAAATGGGTCGATTCGTGGATTGCGTCTAAAAACGAAGCGTTCTTCCGACACGGTATTTGTTCCCTGCCCGAAAGATGGTCAAAAGTAGTAGAAAGCAATGGGCAATACTTTAATTAATGTATTTTTTTATTTTCATTTACAAAAAGTAATTTTTTTTCATTAAAAAAACGCTGCAAATTAATTCCAATTTTTAATATATTCATATTATATATCGTATATAACTGCAATGGGTAAATATGCATAAAAACGGAGCATCCTCGGAGGTCATTGTGACATATGTTGTCAAGGACACCTTCCTGAATAACAATCTGAAGGTTTTAGCCGTCGCTTGTTGTTCGGGAAAAAATTATAAACAAAAGAAGTTGCGGCAATAAACTGTTATTTTCCGACACCGTGTACATTTTGTTTGTGTTGTAAGCGTGTAGGCAGGGGGCGCAGCTCTAACTGTAGCAATCATCTGATCCACAACTGCGTCGTGTCGATAATTGGCAAATTTACACATAACATTGAATTGCACGCAATTTGCATATCGTTTTGCGCGATAACTCCTGAAATTGTCGCGTGTCGTACTGCATTCTACGTACATATATACACGCGTATAGAGAATATATACGCGTGTAGAGAAGGTATATATAGCCTCGTGTAACCTCCCCTGCCTACACGCTTACAACACAAACAAAATGTACACAGTATCGGAAAATAAGAGTTCATTTATGATATTTCTTTTGTTTATAATTCTTTAACGAACAACGAGCGACGGCTAAAAATTGCAGATTGTTGTTCATGAAGGTGTCTTTGACAACATATGTCAAGGACAATAACCTCCGAGGCTCCGTTTTTATGCATATTTACCCATTGTTTTATGACAATGTTGCTGTTATATATCTATGTTTGCTGGGCAGCAATGTTTTTTCGCTTTAGTTATTTTAGAGATGTTACAAGAAAGCACTGTTAATTTTAATTACAGCATGAAAACACCGAGCAGTTTATAGTTGCAAAGAGCGAGTTCTTTATTTTATTAATGAGAAGAAATTAATTTAATTTACATTTGTGCGGAAATGCAGCTTTTACAAGCAAATATACATTTGAGACAATTGTGTCAAAATCACTGAGTACGGTAGATTTCTTCGTTCTGCAATCTTTCGTCACGGAATGCTCCCGAAATTTTTGATAATACATATTTTTCGCGTTGACGCGTGTGTGCGTATATTATGACGCGCAGGGTTTAAATACAACGATGGAATGTAGTAAAACGCGTTCCGGTTATTTTTAGTCAAACGGATTCGTAAATACATTCACTGCAGATTATATATAGTTCCGTGGGACACGAGGCTATATATACCTTCTCTACACGCGTATACATATATTCTCTATACGCGTGTATATATGTACGTAGAATGCAGTACGACACGCGAAAATTTCAGGAGGTATTGCGCAAAACGATATGCAAATTGCGTGCAATTCGATGTTAGGTGTAAATTTGCCATATTGAAATGAAATAGTTATCGATATATACAATATCGGTATAACAAATAATAACAAAATAACAAATAGTATATCTTTTAATATAAAAAAATAGAATTTAAATAAAAAACTAAATAAATTCTGTAAAACTCGCGCAAATATACTATTATACGTATATTAAATAAAACTTATAAATTCTTTTTTTTATTGTAACTCTTAGATCTTTAATTTTTAATGATTTCAAAAAATATCTTATAATTGTGTGTATACATGTGTTACTATAATAAAATATATACTAAAGAAAAAATATGCAAAAACAATTATCCTACGCAAACATGCATTTTTCTTAATGTGACACAATACGTCGCAATAAACTGAAAGGTTTATTGTTTTCTTAATACTATCCAGTAGTAAAATATGATTCCCTCACGTGTCTTAAAAAAAAACAAAAAAATTAAAGGAACACAAGACAAATGAGTATAAAAACAGAATTGAGAATAATGGAAAGCTATTTTATATACATAGTGCCTGAAAAATTTTAACACAGTCAAAGTGTGAAGGTAGATTGGATTAATTTGAATTGAAAAATCATGTACCATTTTGCAAAATTTACAATAGTTATTGAGTGATTAAGTAACACATGTGATCCAATGAGCGCGTGAACGATGGTTCGGACTCTGTAAGCGTGTATGATTTTCAGTTGTAAAAATCAGCTGATCGCGAGAAACTGTGTCACTTGTTTGCTCTACCTCTTGCTTTCTTCATATATTAGGAGATTGCATGAAGTAAGCCAGTTTTCTTTACAACTAAAAATCATACATGTCTATATTGATTATACACGTCTAGACCGTTGCTTCGCACGCGCTCATTGAGTTACATGTATTAATTAATCACTCAATACCTATTGCAAAGTTTACAAAATGGTACAAGATTTTTCTGTTCAGATTGACCCAATTTATCTTCACACTTCGACTGTCAAAATTTTTCAGACACCCTGTATATCGATACACACTCGCGTGCTCTAAAACCGAAGAAGGTCAAACAACGTACGGGAAAATAAGCATCAAGAGGAACGAGAGTCTTGTCAAACACAAATTTAAACATAATCACTTGCAATTTTGTTCAATTCCATAAAATTGCGTGCGCGTGTCTTCACTTGCAGGTATGATTATTCAATTGAGATATATCACGTTTTATTTTATTCGATCTCATAGAGACGCAGAGACTAATACGTATAATAGAAATTCTGTACAATTTATGGTTCATCAAAAAGATGCACGCGAGTGAAACATTATAGTTTTTTCCATAAATGCGATTCTGCAATTCAAGAAGCATCCAACTCGTCATGTTGTTTTGTCAAGATACTGATTCTGTAAATCTTCGCTTATATAGCGTTTTGGACTAGTTAATTTACTCTTAGAGCGATTAATGAATAATGATCACTTCAGTAAATCAAGCAATATGATTTAACAAATTGACGTCATTGTTTTGAGAGCAATTCGTATCGATGGAAAATGTTTTTAATTACTCACATGAAAACGAGTCAGAGACGAGATTGTTTTTATTTGCATTGTAGCACAAGAGAAAAGTGACCACATTCCAAAGATAACAAAACGCTACACATCTTGGAATATTAAAACAGAATATTTCTAGAAAGTTACTGTCAAACACATTTCTTTTTTTTAGATGTTTTCTGACACGTCAATAGAGTAAAAGTTGTTTATTGTAAAATATCACTAATAATTTGCGCCACAATAGCAAGACTAAAGATTGTTATTTATTGTTTTTTCCCGCTTTCTCTTGACTATGTACAATCCGGTGGAGAGCGTCATTGCGTGTATATTATGTGTATATATGTACAGTTACACTTATTTTTTTTCTTTTACAATTACAATAGTAATAATTTAACTTTGTAATTGTGTGCGATCTAACTATAGTATACTTAATGGATAGATATATGTGTTACTTGTTTTGATACTTACATGATAATTATGCGCACTTGGGAATGTTCTAATGTAAAGTTGCGACATTAATCGATTACATAAATTGTTATCATCGGAACTAGACAATGACAGCTCTCTTTTCCTCCCTCTCTCTTTTTTACTCTTATTTACCAACTTTTTATTAGAAAACTAAGTAATATGAATTTCTCCAATTTTGCACTAAGATCGATCTGTTCCTATCTTTTAGAAAGAACTCAGGCTGTCCGTTATCCTCTGGCATATTATCTTCTAAACTGTTTATCTCAAAAGAAGTTCTACAAGGCTCTGTTCTTGGTCCTTTATTATACAACATATATATCACAGACTTCGGCAAAACTCTGTCATACTGCAAATATAATTTTTATGTAGATGACTTATTAATTTATCTAGACACGGAACCTGTATTGCTAAGGCCATATCCAAGGTTGGGTAAGTTAAATTTTTTTTTTATTTAAGTTAAGTTACAGTTAAAGGTCTTAAAAATTTTATTTAGTTAAGATATAAGTTAATCCATAATGAAATTAATTGATTAAAAGTTAAG